GTATCTCTATTTGCAACTTTTTGAGAAAGTGCCACACCACTTTCCACATGGTTGCACCATTTTACACATCCACCAACAGTGAATAAGGGTTCCTGTTTCTCCACAACCTTCTAAGCACTTGTTGCCTACTGTTCTGTTAAATTTTACCATTCTTACTGGGGTGAGATGATATCTCATAGTTGGTTTTATTTGCATCTCTCTTAGGGCTAGGGATTTGAACATTTCTTCATGTGCTTGTTGGCCATCTGAATGTCTTCTTTGGTGAAGTGTCTGTTTATATCCTGTGCCCATTTTTCAATTGGATTATTTACCTTTATCTTGTTGTGGTGTCCTTACACCTTCTTTTGATGCTTCCTGGATCATTTAATAGCATCCTTAAGTATTACAACTTGATTAGTTGAATTTGTTCTTCAATTCCTTCAGCTTAAGAAATGCTAAGCAGTTTATCCCTTTTGATTTTATGACTCTAGGTCTTTTTCATTATAATACTTTGCTTTGTCTTCCTGAGCCGCCCTTTGAAATTTTGTATTCAGCTCCTTGGCTTCCTGATTTCTTCCCTTCACTTTGGTTTCTCAATATTCTAGTGCAATGTTCAGTACCTTCTGACATCTCCATCTTGGTCTTTTCTTCCTCCTCTGCCTTTGAAATGACCTTTTGCATTCTCCCTGTATGATATTCTTGATATCCTCCCACAGCATGGTTGGTCTTTGTTCATTAGTGTTCAAGGCCTCAAATCTGTTTCTGAGATGGTTTTTGGCACATTCTTTTTGACTCAACTTGACTATGTAATCTTCAAACAGTTGTTCAATCACGTCACAGGAACGATGGTGACAGTGATAATGAAATACTGTTTTATAGTATTCACAACTCTCTGAGATTAATGTGAGCATTATCTTTATCAGGATTTCAGACTTTGGACCATGAGGATCAGATCGCTTTGCTGAAAGGGTCGGCAGTTGAAGCTATGTTTCTCCGGTCGGCTGAGATTTTCAATAAGAAACTTCCAGCTGGACATGCTGACCTGCTGGAGGAAAGAATTCGAAAGAGTGGTAAGTGATTTGCTCGAGAGTAAAGGTTTTGTTTGGTTAAGGGTAAAGGTTTTGCAAGGAAAAGATTTGCGCTCTGAAAGCAGGATTTAAGTTTTTCTTAAGCAGCAGCATTTATATGGCAGTTACATCTGACTTAGAGAATGACTTCTTTAAAAACTAGGTTAAACATTTGTTTCTGTTGCATGTCATAGAGTCAGAACCGGCTCATCATTGACCCTCCAGCGAATTTGCAGAGGCAGTTGATCACACAGGAGGAAATGGTCCACCCTTCTCCCCTGCAGCAGTTGGTGGATTTGAACCACAACACTTTTGAAACTTTGCAGCGCAGCTTCTTAACATTAGGCCACCCAAGTTCCCCATGTTAAATACAGATGGCACATTTAAAGGATTTATTACAAAATTCTTACTGTAATGAAAGAAAAGAAAACATGCTCTTTCTGTTGGACTAAGGTGAAGAGTAAAAGATCAACTTCTTTAAGTATTGGACAATTAGGCTGATTTAAGTTCTAGACTCAAGGAAGGGACACCGGTTGAATCTGGTAACTTTCAAAGGAGCTATAACATTTGCTGTTTTCCTTCTTGTGACTAATTAATTTTTTTTCTGATGCTTTAGCCAATCACTCCACCAGCTTCTTGCATATTTTTGTTTCTACAGCTACAAGTTGTTGGTTTTTAAGTGCCATCAAGTCAACTAAGACTCATAGCAACTTTATCCACAACAGATCTCACCTTGTACTATCCTGCCTTATCCTCATAATTTCTGCTATGTTCTAGCCTGTTGTTATATTCAATACATTTATCATGTTGAGGGTCTTCCTTTAACCTTGACTTTTCCCAGCATGATATCTTTTTCAATGGCTGGCCTCTCCTGACAAAATGCCCATAGTACGTGTGACCAAATTTCACCGTTCTTGCCTGAAAGGAGCATCATGAATGTCCCTCCTCCAGGCTACACATGCTGTTGTTATGTGCTGTTGAATCGCTTGCGACTCATAGTGACCCTATGTATAACATCCCTAAACCCTGCTCTGCCCTGTGCCAATTGCACCATCTCCAACACACCTACCCCCATTACCCCAGTCACTGAATCAATCCACCTCATAGAGGGCCTTCCCCTCCTGTGTTGCCCTTCCATCCTCCCAAGTAGGATGTCCCTTTCCAAAGACTGGTTCCTCCTTACAACATGTCCAAAGTATGTCAGACGAAGCCTCAGAATCCTTGCTTCCAAGGAGCTGCCCAGTTTAACTCTCTCCAGGATGAATCTGTTTGTTTTCTTAGCAGTCCATGGTACCCTCGATACTCTTCTCCAGGACCACAGCTCAAAGGCTTCTATCCTCCTATCCTTCTATCCTCCCTAGTCATTGTTCAAATTTCTGATGCATTAAATGGATAATCCAACTTCAGAAAGGGTTAAAGGGTGCAAGGTGCTGAAATGTAATGTGTATTAGCTTAAAGCTTCATTTGAGCTGTTGAATATAACCTAATGGTTTTCTCTTTCTCTATGCATAAAAGCCATGTGACTGTGACCTCTGGTGGATAAACTCAAGGTCAATTATTTGGTCCTGATTTTCATGGACAAAATAGCCAGGGTGCTTTCTCTACCAAAACTCATACATCAAAATCTTATTTCAAAAAAGCAAGTCAACTAAAAAGGGTGGTAACTCATGGGGCAAAGTATTTTCATTTTACAAATGAGTCTGTTTTAGTCTGAGAAGGTCCTGCTGTAAAGTGAATTGTGATTTTTAAGAGGAAGTGATGGTTAAGGATATTGTATTTAAAATGTCACTTATTAGCTGGATGCCATGTATATTTTTAACTATTAAAATAAGCCTTACCTCATAACTGGCCTTCTGCTGGGTTTCTGAGCCTGTAATGAGCATTGGAGGAGATTGCTGATCCTTCTCCCATGGAACGGCTCGCGGATTTGAACTGCCAGAGATGTGGCCTTTGAGGTAGCAGCACAGCTCCCTAACTACATGTTGTTAATGTTTTTATGTGCCATTGAATCAGATCCATCACATAGCTGAACCCCTAGGGCCTTTTCAAAGGATATAAATTGCAAGGCACTTTACTGTCCGTCTTGCTCCCACGGAGCACTTGATGGATTCAAACGTCGAGGATCCGAACTCCAAGGGTAAGGTCTTGGGGTTAGTAGTTTACCACTTCATCCACTAGGCCATTAGAACTTGCTCTCTGTGAACTTGCACCACCATGATTCCCTGGACTTTATGCATCAGAACTAATTTGAGGAACTGATGTCTTTTGCACTGAGGATAAGACAGTTTGAGCTGGGAAGCTCTACTGTGTTGTTTCTCCTTCTTCTCAAAGATGAGTCATTTAAAGCTGATGTGGGAGCCAGGCAAAGAACAACAGCAGTATAATATCTATCTGCTCATGATCTGAGCTGTTTTGACAAAAGGACATCTAAAGCATCAATAGCCAGCGCCTACATCATATCTCTCCTTCCTGGGGGCTCAGCTTCCACTTGCTCCCTTTGCTTGACCTCATCTAATCTCCTGCATCCTGAGCCAAGTTCAATGTCACCATTTTCATGATGGCCTCTTCAGACGTGGCTGCAATGCACAAAATCTGTTCACACTCTAGTTCAGCTGAGGGGGTGGGGGAGAAGTGTATATGTATTTTTTTAAAAAAAAATTTACTGGGAAACTAAGAAGGAAATTGTGAGTGTTTATAATAGCCATAGATGCGTAATGCATGGATCTATTAATCAGAGTTCTAAAAACAAACATCTATTCATCATCTTATACATACCACTCTCTATTCTAAGTGTTTGTGTGTGTGAGAGTTCAAATTCAAATTCTGCAAAAAAAAAAACCACAAAAAACCCCAAACAAACAGATACCGAGACGGGATTACACATGGGAGAGATTCATTGGGAGAAAAACCCCTGAAGAATAAGGGATATATGGTCCTCTCTGCTCTTCTCTGACCTCAATAGATGCTCTCCTGATGCATTTTACTATATCACATTTGACCCTCTTCTTTCTAATTTCTGTCCTGGCCAATGGCTTTAGTAGAGAGGTTGGCACAGATTTATTAGAAAATGGTATCCATTCATTGTGAGAAGCATCTGATGAGAAGAGGTCAAGGTCTTGGTAGATCCATTAGAGTTTGTCAGGAACTCTGAAAAAACTCTCAGGAGTAGCAAAAGGGAGATGGAAAAGAAGGTGGCAGTCTGTTTAAGGGGGTTGCCAAGAGATCATTCTACACAAGATCAAGATGTCACAGATTGTATGTAAGGCAAAAAGTATATTTCAAGGTCATACTATGGGAGCTAGAGTTCAAGCCCCAGGTGGACAGCTTAGAGAAAGGACTCCTTAAGCTTAATCAATGTGACAAGACAAGAATCATCACAAGGACAAGGTCACAGCCATGTCCCTAAAATTAGATACAACAAACATATCAACATTGTATCCTGAACCTGAGTTACAGCTCTATGAGGAGAGTGATTCTATCCATAAAAATAGAAGCACTCCAAGGATAAGGCCAAAGATTCCTTATATTAAATCTTCCTTGGGTTCTGGCTGTCCCATATTTCTGAAGGTTCTCTGTAACTGATATATCAATGATCTCCAAGAGGTAGAAGCAAATTTTCTGACTCTTCTATGTCCTATAGTATTTTTTCAAATTAATACCTTCTAATATCTTCTCATAAGGATGAATAAAGATGACAGAAAAAGAATTGATGCCTTTGGGTAGTGGTGTTGGAGAAGAGCACCAAATATCCCATGGACTGCCAACCCCTTGATCCCGACCCCAGATATGTCTTGGTAAAAGTGCAGCCAGACTGCTCCTTGGAGGCAAGAATGACAAAACTCTGTCTCACATGTTTGGGCATGTTACGAGGAGAGGCTATTTCTTGGAAAAAGATATCAAGGGAAAGGAAGATGGTCAGTGAAAGAGAGAAAGACCTGCAATAATAAGATGAATTGACATAGTGACTGCATCAATGAGCTTAAGTGTGCTGGAAATGATGAGGCTGGCACAGATTAGGAGTAGTTTCATAGGATCACTATGAGTGATCCTTGACTCATTGGTACCTAACAACACTATCTTCTCTCTGCCTTTTCCCCCAAAGAATACTCTAATTGATGGATCAGTTGTAAAGCTGAAGAGACTAACATTCCCCGAACCCCAAGAATATTTTAGACCTCTCTAACTCACATGTCATCTAAGAACACTCTCTCCTATCGTTCATTTTGGAAGGCCATTAACCTCTTCAACTCTGTATACAAACCCCAATTCTGTTTAGAAGCTATTGTTTTCATTTGTCTCTGTTAACATGGTAACCATCTAACAAAAGCAGACCATTTTCATTGAGATCTTTATTTGCCTGTTTTTCCAATATTTTGTGTATTTGCTCAGAGCCAGGTATATTGGGGATACAGAGATGAAAAAGATAAAGACACAATCCTCTAAAATGTCATCTACTAGAAAGAATGGAGATGGAAAGAAATAATTACAATTGAATATTATGTGTACTGACAATCGTACAGGACAAGACAAGGTTCAGATCTGTTGTTCATACTGTTACTTTGCATTACAGTCAACTCTACAGCACTGAACAACAACATTTTGTATAAACTAAGTATAGGCTCAGTGGCCTAGTGGTTAAGGAGTTGTACTGCCAACCCAAAGGCAAGCAGTTAAAATCCACCAGCTTCTCCATGGAAGAAATCTCCTTTCATGCCTTTTGTTGTGTTGTTGTTGTTAAGTGCCATAGAGTCACAGGCAACTCATAGCAACCCTATGAAGAAGAGTCCTGAATGTTGGGTGCCTTTCATCCTCTCTCCAGGTTCATAGGGTTTCTGGAGGCAAGCTGTTGTGGAATTGGATGCCACTCTCCCCTCCAAGCTTGTTTTAATCAAGGAGCTCCACCCCACTCCCTGTCTGTATTGGGTAGCCAACCATTAACACATTTGACACATCAGTGTCACAGTGTTCAGTCTCACAGCAACCACAAGTGACCGTGGTACGGC